TTTTGATGTCTCTTAAGTCTTCTTTAGGTTACACTTCTGAAGACTGCTATCCTTCTCACTCATACTCAGCTGGGCAAGCTGGTCCTACAAACAGACCCTATTCCTTTTCCATCAGGATGAGGTTTCTCAACAAAGACTTATATTCTGAATTACTTAAACCAGCAAACAACCCTGGGACACAGGAAACGAATGCGTCAGTAAGTCTGCTATTAGATTTAAGGCAAAGTAGCCACAGGGATACAATGACCTCTTCAGCTGCATCCCAGGTGGAATGCCTGTTGTTGCTGGGTACTTGGGTGTCTGTGGCAAGGCAGGGAAACGTATTGCAGGTCTTTGCGGTAAGATGATCTAAGAATCTTTTTGAGGTAATTTAATCAATTTCAGAGCTTGTTTGCTCCCAGAAGGATTCCCTAGCCCTTGTAAAAGCAACTCTGATCCCCACCAAATATATTTAAGTACTTTAGATGGACAGTCTAAAACATGGGAAAAATTCCTTGACTGATCTGCAGTGAAGATGAAGTGAACTTATGCTTTATGTGAAGTTAGATGGCAGTACTAGAGACCTGACATGCCTTTCAGTGCTCTAAGAACATTTGGGATATTAACCCTGGAGCTTCAGCCAGGTTACAAATTTCCATTCTACTGACCTACATTATTGGTGCAGTCTTAATGCCTGCACTGGTCTTGGTCTCTTGTCCCAAGCTTCTGTTTTTCCACACAGACAACTGGAGAAACTTCATTAGAGGACAGTGATTTGAAAGTACATCTTTAAATATATAAAGCACTTCACAATCTTTTCAATTAAATGAAAATATACGTCAGATGTCATTAGTCAAGAAAGATACTTAAAAGTTACAAGAGAAGAAAAAGTCAGAGAACTCTCTTAAATCATAACTGTTTTGTTCAAGTTAATAGCACAATTTAAAAAAATTAACCTATTTTGGTTCTTATCTACTAAGAAAAACATTGCAAAATACCAAGAAACACTAATAAAATAAAACACACAATCTATCAATACTGAGATCTCATCTTTCTACAATGAATCCTTCACTTCATGCTAAGGTAAAAACACTCACATGAAGCAACCTCTGCTAGGCCTCTGCCTCCAAACAGTGCTTCAGTATTTTTATTTCCTATGGCTCTGTGTATATATGTGACAATAGGATTAAGCCTTGTTAGCCATGTTATCTTTTCTTTCCACTTCTGAAAACTCACTAAACTTTGAATGAACTAAGACAGCAGGATCAGTTCTGCTGTGCTCTCATTTTAACACCTGAAGATAGCAATAATCAATACCACTGAACAATCTATTATCTTAAAATAAAATAAAATAAAATTCACATGAATCTTCTATAATCAAAAAACTCCTTAGATAAGAGAAATATACAGAAACTGATTTTCTAAGCTTGGAAGATTATAAATAGCTGTAGGTACATAGAAAAACTTTTTGACACTATTTTCAACACAAACTTTCCAATAGGCAACCCACTGTAAGGAGTATACATCAATTTATTACCAGCTAAAAACTGCCATAGCCACCTGGTATAAAGCGCTTGTCTGGTACAACACTACTCTGCCAGTTTAGATTTGATCAAAATTGTTTGATGGCATAATTTTGTGCTAGCAAGCACATACTAGGTCAGGTATCATCTGTCTGTACTACTCAGAGTTTATGCCACATAAAGTGCAGTGTGTCCTTCTATAGTCACCATAAAAGCATAAAGCCAGGACAAAGCCTGTCTAATGCGCTTTGACTAATGCAACAAGATCACGCCAAACCCAGTTCAAAGTAGACCTGACGGGTGATGCAACAGTGTCCAGGTCTAGTGTTAACTATTGTGAAGACACAATCAACAGAACTTATTTCTCTGCGCTCACCCATAGAACACTTTTTACAGTAATGTGCACATTATGGGTCCGGATGAAATCCATCCGCGGGTCCTGAAGGAGTTGGCAAATGAAGTTGCTAAGCCGCTGGCCATCATATTTGAGAAATCATGGCAGTCAGGTGAAGTTCCCGATGACTGGAAAAAGGGAAATATAACCCCCATTTTCAAGAAGGGGTAAATGGATGACCCGGGGAATTACAGATCAGTCAGTCTCACCTCTGTGCCTGGCAAAATCTTCGAGCAGATTCTCCTGGAACACATGGTAAGGCACATGAAAATCAACAAGGTGCGTGGTGACAGCCAGCATGGCTTCACTAAGGGGAAAGCCTGCCTGACCAATTTGGTGGCCTTCTATGGTGTGGCTACAGAACTGATGGACAGGGGTAGAGCAGTTGATGTCATCAACCTGGACTTGTGTAAAGCATTCGACACTGTCCCACATGACATCCTTGTCTCTAAATTGGAGAGACATCAATTTGATGGATGGACCACTCTGTGGATAAAGAACTGGCTGGATGGCTGCACACAAAGAGTTGTGGTCAATGGCTCAATGTCCAGCTGGAGACCACTAATGAGTGGTGTCCCTCAGGGATGGGTGTTGGGTCCAGTCTTGTTTAACATCTTCGTTGCTGACATGGACAGCAGGATTGAGTGCGCCCTCAGCAAGTTTGCCGATGACACCAAGCTGTGTGGTTCAGTTGATACACTGGAGGGAAGGAATGCCATTAAGAGGGGCCTTGACACACTTGTGAGGTGGGCTGATGCCAACCTCATGAAGTTTAACCATGCCAAGTGCAAGGTCCTACACCTGGGTCGGAGCAATCCCAGGCACAGCTACAGGTTGGGCAGAGAAGAGATTCATAGCAGCCCTGAGGAGAAGGACTTGGGGGTGCTGGTTGATGAGAAAATGAACATGAGCCGGCTGCAATGTGCGTTTGCAGCCCAGAAAGCCAACCGTATCCTGGGCTGCATCAAAAGGAGCATGACCAGCAGGTCGAAGGAGGTGATCCTGCCCCTCTACTCTCCTCTTGTGAGACCTCACCTGGAGTATTGTGTGCAATTCTGGTGTCCTCGACATAAAAAGGACATGGAACTGTTGGAACAAGTCCAGAGAATGGCCACGAGGATGATCAGGGAACTGGAGCACCTCCTGTATGAAGATTGGCTGAGAAAGTTGGGACTGTTCAGCCTGGAGAAGAGAAGGGTGCGTGGAGACCTCATAGCAGCCTTCCAGTATCTGAAGGGGGTCTACAGGGATGCTGGAGGGGGACTCTTCATTAGGGACTGTAGTGATAGGACAAGGGGTAACAGGTTAAAACTTAAACAGGGGAAGTTTAGATTGGATATAAGGAGGAAATTCTTTCCTGTTAGGGTGGTGAGGCACTGGAATGAGTTGCCCAGGGAGGTTGTGAATGCTCCATCCCTGGCAGTGTTCAAGACCAGGTTGGATGAGGCCTTGGGTGATATGGTTTAGTGTGAGGTGTCCCTGCCCATGGCAGGGGTGTTGGAACTTGATGATCTTAAGGTCCTTTCCAACCCTACCTATTCTATGATTCTATGATATATGGAATTATGACTTTGGTTCTAATAATCGGTTCTGGGTACAACTGAGACTGCCTTTCTGTAAGCAAATGCATAGTAGAACTTGGCTATGAATGCCGTCTGGATCAACCAAATGGAAAAAATGTATTGAGGTGGAAAAAAGAATATATTCAAATCAAGCAAACAACTTCCAAAATTTGGTTGTTGGAGTTTGTTTTCCATAATAACCATTCTGTTAGTGATCTAATTTTCAAAATCTCAGGGTCTTGTTCAAGGATGCAAGAGGGTGACAGAACACCAGCCCTACTAAGGGTGGTGATTTGGGTGTCGGCACTCCCTGCATGGCTCAGTGGCTGCAGAGCCAGCTGCATCAGTCTGTCAGCAAACCTCAGGCCTGCTTGTGCTAAATGGTGTCCTAAATGTCACATGGCCATGGTGCAAAAATGTATATGTGATAAAAGATACCTCTGTCCCCTCTGAAATATTTCTTATCGATGATGTGCTCACTTTTAATCCAATTCATTTACCAGCTGCTGTGAAGCACTCCTAAGCATCAGTCTGTTGCAAACCCCATCACAAGCAGAGTGGAGTGTGTTTTACCACACGCATTACTCTCTGGCGAGAAGGGGACAAGCTCTAACCAAAAACTGCTTCTTCACTGTTGCGTGTTTTATACACATGCAATACCCACTGTATGGGAATGCTGAGGCTGTGAAACTGCAGTATGCAGAAAATTACATGTTAGCTACTTCCATTATAACAGGCTGTCATTTTTCAGCACAGAGCAGCCATTAATCATCCAACAATCGTTCAGCCATCCTTTCAGTGAAGCATTAAACTGTGGCCTTTTCTGTTTGTCTCTGGTGATCATCCAGGTGGAAATTAGAAATCCCAGAGTGCTTTTCAAAAGGAACAGGGGCTAACCTGGGTGACCTTCAGTAATAAAAGAGAAAACCTGTTTCCATTGTCCACAGCTGTGTGTAAGCTATCACCAAGTACATAATAGGCGCCACATTTACCTACACAGTCACCACTTCTCCAGCATTTAACTCATTCATCTGTAGAGTGGTTTGGGACACCCTGAGTATGAAATATGCTTTGTGAAATCGAAATTCTGTTATCCTTTACAGCATGTTGACAAGCATTTTCAACCAAAAGTTTCACAGTGCCCCTGTGATTTGATCTTAAAAGAATCTCCTCCTGGTGTAGCAATTTACAGTAGTGCTTCACCTTCATGCAGGGAAGTAAGTGCTCATTGCACCAAAAAACATATACTAATAATGGTGGGCAAAAGTCACTTAACATGGACAAATGTTTGCTGTTGGTTTCCCACTCTTTTTTTTCACTTAGATTGATTTTCTTTGTTGTTAAAGTTATGATGCCTGTGTTCTCTAGATTGGATGAAGTCTTATTCTTTCAGAGCTTCTGGATGAAAGACATTCAGGGACTTAGATAATCACCTTCTTAACTAGATTTTGAGGTCATTTTCATACATTAGCTTAAAAGAATTACAACGCAATTTAATAATAAATTCTGTTACTATAACTTAGCCTTAAAAATCACACTTACATTGAGCAAGTAATATTTTTCATGTTTTATTCACTAAAGCCCAATTCTGAAGACATTTTGATCCGTAATCAGCAAAGTCCTAAAGCATATTCCACTTTTCAGCACAATGGTGAAATTTAAAACTAGAAAAAACAATGGCAATGGAAGGCAGTTAAGTGTCTAACTGATTAGAAGTGGGTAGAAATAAAGTGCCTGATTCCTTAATGTTTTTATTGTTTCTAGCCAAGGGCATATAAAATATGTGCTCAGTGTTAACCAGGTCCAGAAGAAGGGGCTGTGACCTGCAGAGGTCCTCTCTATCCTTCGCTCTTCTCCCATTCTATGTGCTCTGCTACCTTCTCACTTGAGAGAATTTGCAGTACACCAATTGGTTTATAGTATTACAACAGGTTTTGCACCATGGTCACTATGACATTATTCAAGTGACAAATAAGCTCACAGAGAATCAACCAACGGGATTTTTACTGAGGCTGCAAAATTAATTTTTGGCAACATTAAGTCATATAGGAAACAGGACACACAAGCACAGCCACATGGAATGAGAATAAATATTGGCAGAGGGGACATACCATTATGCATGCTTTGGATCATATATCTGAAAAATCTCACAACTACAGTTAGATTGAGGCAGACAAAAATGTGTTGTTATTCCCTGTCAGTTTTTTTTAAATGTACAGATTACATGAACTGAATTAATTTCTAACTGTTCCCTGATGTGCACTGGAAGGAAAGATGTTCATAGCAGAAGGTTCCACAATTGTGTCAATTTGTGTACATGCATATGCTTAAACTTCATAGACCATGGACATGATTTTAGAAATCAATTATCATTAAGCTCTCCCTAATCAGTGTATAAAGTTAGTAAAGTTAAGCACATGCATTTCCTGGGGAGGTAAACATAGTTAAAGAGGTGGAGAATAAGAAGAATATGAATGTGAGATGCAGATATTTAATTCACTTGGTAATACTGCTTCTACAAGCACTGAGCTTTCAAATATGTTTTTCAATAAGAGAGCATTTACAACATGTGTTGGGCAATTGCACATTCCTTTTTTGTAACACCATCAGTTAAAAAAAGACAAAGTAGGACAAATTGTCCCCAAATGCAAAACTACAGAAAATGACATTTAAAATGGCATATTCGAAACTGCAATGAACAACAAAATGCATGAAGTCATGAAGACAGCCAAGGTGAATTCAGCACAGAGAGAGATGTACATTAAACCACACTAGCCCAACAGCCCCCTGGTGTCAAAACTGCAAGTGTCCTGCATGCCAAGAGCAAAAGAAAAAGGACTGCTACTCCCCCACTTGATACATTGCTGGTTACTTGACCAATGATTTATATCAGGTGCTAACGTATCCACTCTCAATTCTTCTGCAATTAAGGAGGGCAGGGCAGGCCAGTGACAAACGGTTTTCCTACAGCGCTTTTGGCTTTAGCTATTATCCCTTAGATACCTTTAAACTAATTCATCCCTCTTTAGAATCCCAGGTTTGGGTTGATAAATCAAGTGAGACCTGTGTGTGCTGGGAGCTGATTACAGGGTCATTCCTCAGCAGAAATGTTTGACCATAGTTTCCCAACTTCATATTTTATCTAGCAGCTGGTGATGTATCATCACTAACCCAAATGCAAAGTATCAGGAAATAAAAGAAGGAGGCACTGTTTATAATAAATCACTGACAGGGAAAGCCTGACCTTTTCATTTCCTACAAGGTATTTCATTGTTAGACCACAGACAAACAGAATTTTTCATCTGGTGCTTAATATGCATCAAAAGAGAACAAAGATTTATAAGAGAAGAAGAGGAGGGTACTACCTCCAAGTAGAGGACACTTATCCTTCCACAGATCAAAAAGACAATGTTGTTAATAACACTCTTTTCTTAAGAATCCTTTATTCTTTTTATTAGACCATAATTTAATGATAAAATGCACTTCCTACCTTTCATCCTGAAGGGACATTCAGAGACTTTGTTAACTTTAAAATGCTTCTTTAAAAATGTGTGATTTTTAAGACAAATGTTTATAATTGAAAGAAAATATAAATGACTGGCACCATAAAGATATATAAACATAAGAAGATAACATTGCTATTATTAATGCTCAAGCTTGACATGTATCAGCCATATGTTATTATTAGTACAGCAGTTGTGGCTGCAGATGGGAGCACTGTTAAGACCGGATGCAGTACAAACACCTAATAAAAGGCTTCCTCTGTGAGGAGCTTCTGTTTCACCTTTCACACACAAAGGCTGGAAAACAGAGGTACAACATAGACAGGATTAATCCAACAACTTTTTTCAAAAATAACAAACAAACAAATAAATAAATAAACAAAAAAGCCCAAAGTAATCTGTTCAGCTGAGGTATCTCCTCAATCTGTCTCCCATAATTGTCCATCATGTAATGTGGTACCCATCTGCGAGATTCAGCTCCCTGCCACATACAGCAGCCAGAGCAGTGTGTTAAAAATATGGAGGCCATTGAAATGCCTGTTCCGTTTTCTCCTGTTGAATAGCAGGACTCACTACTAGAATGAGACACCCGCTATGTCTGCCTTTGCAGCCCGAAAGGATTCAGGCCATGGCTCTGTATGCCTCAGCACCAAGAGATCCTAAACACTCCTTCATACACACTTGTGCAACTACAGTCATACAGAACCAGCTCAGGATCACACCAGCAAGTCCCCTATACTGTCTCTTTCTCTGTAGGAAATCAAATAGTTGTGTGTGTAGGCTAGAAGCTGGCTTCAGTTCCCTTGAAAACTGGTGAATTTCTGAGATTCTTTCTAAAGATGCTCAATTAGGAGCTTGGAAAACCTGAAGCCATCCATGTGTTACCACGCAGAACATGAGCATTCAGCTTCATTAGCTGTAAAACACCTACTGCCAAAGCACCCAAACGTGTGCATAGGTTGTACCATTAGTGCTGGGATTCTTTGTTGGGTTTTTTTCCCCATTCTCCTCCCTCCTCAAGAATCATTAACAGAGAAGCTTTATTTGGGCCTGTAACAGACTTTTCCTTCTTGTATCTTCTGATGGCCTACTTAGAGTCCCAGTCTGGACACCAAGATTGCTGGCAGCTGGTGTCTCCGGTGGTACCAGCATCCTGAAAAGTGACAAGAGAAAAGCAGAGCAGTGGCTTTGCCTACTAGCAAGCCTCAGAGAGTATTCTAATCCTGAGGAAACATCAGCTTAGATTGCTCAACAGTAAAAATGATATTGCAGCAAGCCCTGTGGGTGTTTCTGTTGTATTGGTAGTCTCCAGCCTCACTCTCACAAAGAGCTGCCATATCACTACTGCTAAGCAGCACGTGTTTTTTTTAATTTGCCAGCATCCTAATGTATTTTACTATCATTAGCTGCTACTTCTCCTCTCACACAAAACAAGTTTAGAAAATCTATTTTACTAAGAGCTAGTATATCTAATTTGTACAAATTTACTAAAGCTTGTCAGTCACACTAAAGCATTTAATCATCTGTGACATTAAAATAAAACACTTTAAAACCTTTGGCACAGAGTGCTCCTGTTAAGAAAGTACTGTAATAGTATTCACTCTGCTGGCAACACAGAAAAGAGCAGCAGAGAAATTAACTTGAACAAAATATTCATTCTTATGAAACTTCCACACTGGTCAAAGAAAATCATAGAATCATAGAATAGTTGGGGTTGGAATGGACCTTAAGATCACCTAGTTCCAGCCCCCCTGCCATGGGCAGGGACACCTCGCACTGGATCACGTCACCCAAGACTCCTTCCAGCCTGGCCTTCAACACAGCCAGGGGTGGAGCATTTGCCACTTATTTGGGCAACCTCTTCTAGTGCCTCACTCCCCTCACAGTAAAGAACCTCTTCCTTATATCTAACCTCAAATTCCCTGTTTATGTTTAAACCCATTATCCCCTGTCCTACTGCTGCAGTCCCTGATGAAGAACCCCTCTCCAACACCCTTGTAGGCCCCCCTTCATATACTGGAAGGCTGCTATGAGGTTTCCATGTAGCCTTCTCTTCTCCACGCTGAACAGCTCCAATTTTTTCAGCCTGTCTTTGTATGGGAGGTGCTCCAGCCCCCAGTCATCCTCGTGGCCTGTACTTGCTCCAACTTGCTCCATGTCCTTCTTATGTTGAGGACACCAGAACTGCACACAGTGCTCCAAGTGGGGTCTCACAAGACAGAGCAGAGTAAAGGGACAGGATCACCTCCTTCAACCTATTGGTCACATTTCTTTTGGTGCAGCCCGTTATGTTGGCTCAACATCTTGGATGTTCCTTCAAAGAACAGCTCCTTCCCATTGGGATGATTTGATATGTTTCAGCCTCCTGTATACAGCAGCCATGTAGGCAGGCAGGAGTCAATACTAGGGGGGTTTGTGTAATTAGAAGTCATCATTGCCCAGAGGGAAGAAAAAAAAAAAAAAGAGCAGGAAACTTCCTCTCTGCCTTTATATTACTACTGAGAAAAAAATCTGAACTCTTAAATTAGAGAAGTTATCTTAAGGGGAATAGCTTTTTGCCCTCCTATGCTGAATCTTCACTGCAGTCAGGATGGGTAGAAACTGTCATTTAATTTCACTCCTCTTCTCCTGCCTTCCCTTTAGAAAGAGAAAAATAAATTGGAATTGTCACATTTACTTCATTCCAAGACCCAGTCTCAAGGAACATCACAAAATATAATGAGACTCTGAATTAAAAATGAATGAGCAAAGATGAGTCGTACACTGTGTTATTTAGTGCTAGGAGTCCAGCATTACATCTCACTCAGGAGCAGCAAGCAGGTAGCTCTCTTGGTCCCCAGCCTAAAGTAGAGGGGAGAGCCCATGTGAGACCACAGAACAAGAGGGTGACATGCTGGTCCCAGAGCATCAACCTTGGGGGTCCCTGAAAGATTAACACCTCTGTTCAATGAGGTTATACTCTGGATTACAAGATATATAGTGGTGTGGCCCATCTTCTTTAAAATTAGGAAAAAAAATGTTTAAAAGGAGGTGTTAATTGCTGTAATTTCATATGCATAAAAATGCACCCTACAAAACACACTTTGACATTTGCACAGCTGCCTGTAGAGTACTATGAATCGTGTGTAAATACATTGAAGACAATATCCCTATAGCTTGGTTTACCCCTCTAATTTTCTTTATTCATGTGCACAGTTTCCATTGCTATCTATGGGAATCCTGTTCATGTATTAGGAAGGGAATAAGTTCTTTAATTTTCAGATCACAGCCCTATCTTCTGTAAACTAGAATCTCTCCTCCTCCTACTTCAATTGGACTCTCTGAGACTGTCCCCAATAGAAGGTGAATCAATCACTTCATGAAAGGCATCTCTACATGACTGTTATAAGAAAGTGACCCTTTTCTTTAAGCATTAAACATGTGCAAAGTAAAAAAAAATATACTCAAGAAACATAGTAAGGAAAAAAAAAGTATATGGTAATTTGCCAGATTCTAAGTTAGCTTAATTTGGGTGTTATTGTACAAACGCCAAGATAAGTGTGCATATTTCATTTAAAAAAAATAGCAACTGTTCACATTTCCAATGAACTCATAGGTAGCTTGAAAAGAGTTAATCTGAAACAGGAGCATGTTTTACAAGGGAAATCCCCCTCTTACCTCAGAGCTCTATATTCTTTATGGTAAAACATCTACTTTCTCCCCATTTTAGTTTTACTTCTGTAAAAGACAAACATCAGCTTTCTCTTGGTGAGGATGCTTGACAGTATGATAAACTGAAGAGGCAGTGGCCAGACCAAGCAGGAACTGAACATCTGTGATTTCCAGCAGCCCATGAGCAAGGGACACAGAATGCACCTAGAAGGCATGTAGCATGCTCACAGTGACTGATGAAGAAACCCGACATGCAACACCCATTTCAGTCATACAACTGCCTGTGACAGAACAGTATGAATGATAACAGTTTCCATTGCTTCAAAAAGCAAATGGGTGAATTCTTAGAAGAAAAAATGTGCAACCAGCACTATTAAATGAGAATTGCTTAGGAAACTCATGAAACAAACTCCCCATTGTACTCATGGCAGACAGTATCTGAGAGAAATACTGGGGAGACAGAACTCTTTCCTGATCAGGTATGGCAAGTCTAACACAGGGCTGCATGACCTGATTGCTTGGATGCCACACACATGAGGGCCTGAGGCACTAACTTCATCCATTTCCTCCATTCTCACTTCCAGCCTGGTGAAGATGAAAATCTGCTGCCCATCCCAGGTGTAAAACTGGGAGAGGCTGAACAGCCCTGTCACTGCCAGAGCCAGGAATGGATAAACCAGCCCTGCATGTCTCTGCCAATTGCCCTGGAAAAGTATTCTCATTTTCTTCCCCTACAGCCCCAAAGCAAAATCAAATAATTTCAGGTCTGCCTACAGAGCACTCCTAAAATGTTGCTGGTTATTCCTTAAAGTGCTTCTGGTGAAGAAGTTTATGATTTTAATCCCCCACCCAAAGCCTGGTTTAATATCCCTTTTTTAAAAGTCTCTTTCTCCCCACAAAGAAGAAGTTTCCATTTCCCTGCCAGGGACAGGCAGAAGTGTTCTGATACCTAGCAGCTTCTCCCCAGCCCACTGAGACTCTCATTCTGTTTCTGTAGCACTCATGGTAGTGATGGCACTTCACTCTTCCCAGGATCCTGCAAGGGCAATTCCTCCACTCCAAAACACTTTTCTGAAATTATGAATAACGAATACTTGGACTTTTTCAGCACTACCACTACTTTGTCTGTAGTGGTCCAAGGCCAAGCAAAGCAAGGCACGAGGACAAATGTGAAATATTATATTAGACTAATACAGTTGGAAAAATAGAGAAGCTCTTCAGTGCATAAATCTCACTTTAGGCAGCCTTGTGAATCCAAGCTTTGTATTTCTTACTGACACTTGTTCTAGTAGGCTTGTGTTTCAGGAGTTACTTTGTTTTAATTTGTCAAATGATTCAGCAAGCTTGTCAAGAATTAATTAGTTGGTTCAGGCAAAAAAAAAAAAGAGCAACAACAATCCCCCACCTCTGTTTAC